CGTGTCTATTCTCAAATTGTTCAACTTTGGTTCATATGCATTTTCCAAAGTAAGGGACAATAGCTATAGAGTCTTTGAGATTATCTTTCAGGGAATGCAGGAACAACTACCGATCAGAGGAAGAAACATTTGATTTTGGGCTTGATTTGCCTTCTGGTTAGAGGGACGACAGTTTCAACAAAACTGGAAAGCGTCTCCAATTGCTTTCTAATTCAAATCACACGGATATATATTAATTTCTTCGAAATATGTATCTACTACCTTTCTGATATTTCTTAAATACACTTTCCTGTTTATCTTGCTACACGAGGATAGTCTTGAATTTTTCAAAGTTTATCCTCTCTCGTAACGTGAACAAAACAAGAATACATCTGTTGTATAGACTATCTGAAATATATTTTTATTATTTAATACGGGTTGTTCATGGAATTTAAAACAAAATTAAAAAAAATGGACCAACACCTATCAAGTAATAAAAAACCTTCATTTTTAACTTCAAAAATGCAGTTTGAATTATGTTTGTATTGTATCTGATACAATAGTTTTGATTGTGCCAAGTATTCTGTGTACAGTATTCAAACCACTGAAAATTTGTGTTTTAAATTCTGCTTGTTTAATTTACGTAGAAAAAATCCCTCTGATACCCTTTAAATCATTAACATTTTGCCATATGAACATGTGCAATAGTGAAATATAGAATCTTGAAATATGATTTAAACAGATAGATTTGCACAAAATGTAAATCAAAACCTCATTAGAGACCGCTCCCGTGGCCGAGGGGTTAACGTCGGTGACATTTAATCCAGGTTCCTCTACGGGAGATGCTTTGGTAGTTTAGCACGGAGAAAGGTAGTCTTGTACTTGTCTCCAGGAACGATGGTTAGGAATCTACCCGCCTATATGACTGAAATGCTGTTGGGAAAAGGCGTAAAATGAAACAAACAAACAAACAAAATTGATGAACAATATGATACGATATGATAGTTGTCGCTAGATATTATAATACAATATTTGATCATAATTTCATTGATATAATATATACCAGGACAATTAGTAAATATAAGAGAATCTGAAATCAATGATAAAGAAGATTTATATAACATTGTCAAAAATCAAAGTTTTATATGAAGCAATTTAGGTAATTTGCCAATAAATTATTATTATAATATATATTTTTGAACAAAATATGGGACCTGTGAATAGGTTATTCAGTTCCATGTAATCCTTATTTGATATGTTTAAAGTTGCTCTTAATTTTAGAAAAAAACAACATGGATGATTGAATAAATTAGTGTTTGGAAAATGTCCACGAATGTAAAGATTAACAATATCTTTCTTAAGGAAACACGACAAAGGAAGGTCATCCCAGTAAATTAAATTAAGGTCGTCCAAATAAATCAAATCGTAGACATTACCCAAATTCAATTTCAAGAAAAAGAGATGCATTTGCGGTATGATAGAATGAGTTACTTATGTGTAATCCGTTATAACTGCCCAAATATGCGTATCTGGCACAACTCAAAAAATTGAAATCTTGAGTCCGAGTGCTCAGCACTTAGTGAAAATAATAATCGGTAACTTAATCAGCACTATTTACCAAAAATATCCACCTGTAAACGTTCTGTAAACACTCCAGCAACATACTTATAAACACTTACATTTTTGCTAGGAGCAACTCATTTGCTCATGCTTCAATAATTTGGATAAAGATAAACTAAACTCATAAATTTATTGGTTTATGATAACAAAATTAGTATCGCTACTTATCACATTACCATTTCTTAGCTTAATTAAGTCGTCATCTCATGACAATACTATCAATCACAAAGAACTTGAAATTTCGTGGGCATGCTTCAGGCGAATATTACTCAGTTATTTCAGTCAAACTATTGGTCTGAGGTGAAGGGGATGGTGTTTTGAACTGTTGCGCAAAGCCGTAGGCCGAGGGCAACTGATAAAAAACACTATCGTTGACACTGTTTGACTGTTCCCGAATCACATATGAGATAACTGTTTTATTAGCTAATCAATTACTGTTTCAACAGTTCTTGCAGAAGGAAATAGTGTTGCAAATATGCAAATAATGAAACATCATTTAAACCTCACATCCGGCTTCATGTGATAAAGATCGATAGACGCTTCAAGGGGAATTCCTTTACAACGTCAGAGCATGAGAGGGTAACAGTCGAAACTATTGACCGGTCAAACGTTCGCAAACGTGAAAGTTTTTAAAATTTCAGAAAACAGTAAAACATACCAAATTGCATTTATATAAGGTATCAGGTAATAATTATTGCTAACCGTGAGTAAGTGGTACAATGTTATGCAGTTGAACATTTTGATCATTGATGCCCATTTCTTCTGAATAATGACTCATAGACAATACATCGCTATTGTAATGATTTAAATCCTTAGTTTAAACTGATCGCGATACTAGTATCTGCCAACATCTAACATTTCTCGTAAGCAATATTTCACTGAATGTAGCGTTTAGCCACAACATGATGTTTATTTTCAATGTAAGCACCACAAAATGATTTTGGCAGATATGAAGACGCATTTTGAAGGAATTTTACTGTTTGGGTCAAATCAAAGAAAATCTTTCGCCGTTTTTCTGAACATGGTACCTACAATAGTAAGATAACGAATAACGCATATTACACGTGCTGAAGGAGATTGAAAATTTTCTTATTTTCGGTATTATATTGCTCATTAGATTTTACGAGACTAAAGAATATTATTATAAGTTATTATTCCTTTTACATGAAAAACGCATACCAATAATGTCCACCTACATAATTTGAGTACTATATGTATATTATGCCTGAGAAATACTTGGATGTATATTTCTTACAGAACTTTATATTGATGATATATTTTTATGATGTCCTTAAAGCTCATCATTGGCTTAGTATATCAATCATTTTTTTCCTCAGCTGCATTTGGCATAAGTACTTTTAAAGTGATTTTGTTTTTCATATGAAGTCAAAATGTCACTTTTTTATCATTTTACTACAATAGTGACAAATCATTGCACACATAGCACTACTTTCGTCAGATAACAGACATAAAACCAAACACTTTAACATACGTAGAGTCATATTTGCCCTTTCTGAAGATGTAAACATTTATAAGATTCTAATGAATAATGTGCCAATATGGTTCCATTGTATCTAGCATGGCGCGCATTAATAAACCTCATTCATAGTATACCTAATTTCCTTGTTCATCTGACTTAATTTTAAATATTTGATATCCAAAAGTCTAAAAGTGTTTGCTGATTCTTGAAAGTATTGCATCTGTTAATTTAAAGCGTATACGTTTCAAACTACACGTACAGAGTCGCTACTAAAATTCCAAATTGATATTCATAATTTAAAAAATAATAGAAATTACACTAGAAAGTATAAATAATTATTGTATCCAAATATAATAATCGTTTATGTTTTGTTTTTATATTTTTAATCCTCCAATTTCGAGTTCAATTTAATTTGTAACTCCTTATGGCTGGGGTGGTGCATTTAAGGTTTGAGGCAACAGAAGTGCAACCACCGTTGATCCCATTGGAATCGTACGAGGCGACAAACTGTGTCCGGATTACTTAAGCATATGCATGTCTTAGCTTCAGTTAATGAGGTGTTTTGTTCCTAGTGTTGCCTCAAATTGTAATACTCGAGGTAAGGAAAAATACATCGATCTTGTTCCGGTACCATATATCTTAAAATATACTGATGCACCGTAAAACAAGACGAAATAAGCAATGCGGTCTAGGTAAATAAATAAAAATGGATTTTTTTTATAATAATAAACGCCAGAACCAGCACATTTTGGAATGTTACATGCTCAAATTAATCACTACTGACAGTAATATATTCGATCATCTGACAAAAAATGGTGATATTTGAACTAATCCCGCAAATGTAATTATACGATGATTATCAAAACTTCAATTGAATTTTTTTTTACTCACTATTTGAAACATGGCTTGAAATCAAACATGAAACTTGACTTTATTTGCGCGGACCCCTTTTCAAATTTTCTAGCCAACTTTTACAGACGACAGTTTTAGCCTATTTGTCCGCCATTGTTAACGAGATAATATTAGGGCCTCCACGGCAGTTAACTATTTGATTTATTTTAATTAAACGCCATCTCATCTCTGGTTTGCGCCAAACGCGTGAATGGTATGTTTAAATAAGCAAAGTAGACAACATTTCTTTTATTTGTTCTAAATTCCGACAATTTATTATAGCAGACGACGTGTTACCCCAAACAGTCCGCTAAAATACTATTTCTAGTCGTTGTGCAGTATGGGCAAGTGGAAACATGTTTACTTATTCAAACTAATTTACAAATTATTTCATCACATTTCAGTTGTCAACATCGAAAGGTACACATCGATGACCCTATTTTTATTTTTATACGGATAAAACGATTCTTTGTTATCACACAAGGATTAAATAATTAGTAATATATAGTACAACGATCAAAACAATAACTAATTGTTTGGTACGCACTTATGTTCCCGACTGTAAAGTATTTGCCAATTAAAGTTCAAGTTTATATAACAATAAACACTAACAATTTTTCTTTAGAGCTAAAACTTTATTGTCACAAATGATGAGTTAAAAATATAAAGTACAAAGATAAACAATATCAGCAACGTGTGTTTGGTATGTATAACTAACTAAATCTCTCAGCCAAAGGCGGTATATGTGTCATTGACCTAAATCACAGTGACCAAACAATCAAACGAAACTACAAAGACTATCCTACTCTAATGTGAAAAATATCAGTCAATCGCATCTGACTGTTTGATTGAATGTTCATTTGCTAAATACACAAAACCTAAAAATACCACGTCAGTTCTCCCATCAAACACACTTATCAATACGCGTTTATCAAAAGTCACTTTAATCTATAGTGTTTTTACGATTCATGTACTGTCTCATTAATTCTTTTTTTGTTGGGGGGGGAGCAGAAACGAGGAAAAAGGCACAACACAGAAGTGACTACAAAGAAAACGCGTCCATCTGATTAACCTCTTTGCCATTTTCTGCAATTATTACGAATTATAAGAATAATTATAATGAAAGTACAGAACAAAATTAAATACAAGAAAAACAGGTAAAAAGAGAGAAAAAATCTCTATTTTACAGGTTCATTCTATTACGTTTTCGGTTGGTGTTAAATTTGCCTGAAGATTACGAAAATAGTTTTCTGCAATGTTGTTCATTGTACATTCATACATTTCATCTTCAGTATTAAAAGCAATGTCGATAATCTTAATCAATGAACTGTCCTGAAATAAACTGTCCGCTGCTAGTTTCTGCTCCGTTAACAGCTTTGGCTCTTTTCCTTTTGTAATGACATGCAGTGCTATCAAAATTGTTCTGTTTTGAGCGGCTTCTGTAAGAGTCAGAGAATATATTTTACTTGTCTTAAAAGTCAAAACATAAGTAACAGTATGTCTGTCACGGTGTACGTATGTCAAAGTGCAGTTGCCTTCAATGGTAACATTCAACAATTGAATAACAAATGAACAGACACAACAAATGTATCGTTTGGAAACTGTTATAAGAATTTTCCTAAAAATAAATTATGGATAGAGTAGTAAGTGATTCAGTATGAGCTTTTATGATAATAATTTGTTTTAGATCACAGTATATTATCTGCTATTTTAGATATATTGTTTCCGATCATGTATTTTAAAATTATCAACATATTTTATTTCATTTTATTACTAATATTAGTTCAGACAATATATTTTGGACCAATTCACAAATTAGGTAAATGTAAAAATTCTACTGTTTTTATTAGTAACATTAATCGATAAATATAATGCTACACAATCTCGTCAATTGAATATATATTGGATCAAATGTCCCGATCTAAAACTATTATGAAATTAAAAAAAAAACAAAAAAAAACACCAATTAATATTACATACGTAAGTTGTCATCATAGCATCGCTTGATGTCAGATTCAATGCGCGTTCTGACATTACAAACTATTATCAGCAACAAACTAGGATCAAGGTTCTTAGCATCACTTGGCTCCTTTTCTTCAATCTCGATTCCAAAACCCCTCATTCTAGCTTGAAATAACTTAAGAAACGCTGACATAGCATTCGTTTTAGACGGGGTCATCAAATATACCGCTTTGCGGGGATATCCTACAAATAAAAGCATTTAGACATGATAACAGTTTAAAGCAGTTTTAAACACAACTTTCACCATAACTTGATATATGTAATTATATGTATATAAACAGAAATAAAGAAAATAATACAGGTTCCTAAATTATTAGTTATTTTTCAACTTTAAAATGTACGTATATATATATATGTTTTGTCTGTGAAAACTTTACTAAAGAAACTTAATGAAAGACAAATATTTTGAAATTCTTCTAAAATGCTTTAGTTCCAAACTATCCAAGCTGTTCATAGTAGAGTTTATTTGTAGAATAAGTAAAGGTCTTGTTTATTATAATGTCACCCCTACTCAAAGGCCCAGCCGTTTCTGACTTATGAGACACTTATTGTTTGAATATTATATACCTCCCAACTCCTACCACTATGCCAGGCGCCAGACGGATAGGAATCGATAACCATTCATTTTAACTACCTTGCGGCTCACGAAGCGGAACGAGTCCTACAAGAAACATTCGTCCTTCAATTAACGCTCCCCGTGGGGCTCGAACCTTTGACATCCGTACGAATGCGGACGCCTTAACCACCAGACCAACGTACCCGGTTATATGTATGAAGTTTATAGTATACATATAGTATAAATTAAACATTTTATTCAAAAAAAAAAAGACTATGACTAACTTCTGCCATCAAAGGCAATGGACGTCTGTTTTTCCTATAATTAAATTGTGGTTGATTTGTCTCCTTGGTCAGAGGAATCTTTTGGTTGATTAGAGACGGAAAGTATTGTATGTTGGGCTTGACTCTCGTCTTTAGCAGCAGGGTAACGAAATTCTCTACAGAACTGCACAATTTCTTCAATGGCTTTTTATTATTCATATCACACTGATATATAGTGTCGTCATAGAAACCCCATATCAACCATCTTTCCGATATTCATGAAACTTTCCTCGCTTTTTTTTACCTCGCCACTAGATGGAAGTTTGGGAAGTTTTTGTTCTCTCATAACGTGTACAATAATTTAAATAATTCTGTTGTTTAGTGACAAATCTGAAACAAAATGCTCATGCTTGATTGTAGCCATAGCATCATATTAGGTTTTGAACGATTACGCGGTTAAATAAAACAATTAATCGTTTTAAATTATAGGCAAGCAATTAATATCTTTCTTTCATACTAACTGAATATTTACTATAGTACCGATTTTGGGAACTGTTTTTACATCACAGAGTCGAAGAAACTAGTCTTAAAACGTCATGTAGTGTTCCAGGATTAAGCGTTATAAAACGTCTGGGAAAACTTAAGTTGAAAGTATTGTTAACAGTAACATTAAAAGACAATTGTCGGTTATCAATACGGGGATATAATTGATACTTCCATTTGACTCAATTATCTGCATGTAATTACTCTTTTTTTTTTTAAAGTTAGATATTAATTGAAAATAGCGAAAAGGAATAAATCACGTTCAACATCTTTCAGGACCATTTTTTCAACCAAACGCTTTTTGGTGGATCCGCCTTGTCCTTGGTTGCACCACTCGAGAATTAAAACTTGTTTTCTGAAAGTTTGACCTCTGCTTACTGTTCCAATAACTGCAGTATTCAATACGATTCCGATGCATTTATTCTCATATTGCAACTGTTTTATAAAACATTGTAACTGCCGATGTGCTTCGTGTTGTCTAGTATTTGAAACTCTCGGCGCCCACTGACGTTAGTTGATCTAGGTAAAAAAGGAAACAAATAATCGTGCCCAAAAATATTGAAAGCGTTTATTAGACATTGAATAAATATAATTTAGTTTCTTTAAGAAACTTCTTAAAGAAGTTGGATATATATTTTGTTCCAGAGTACACATATTGCGACAATTATTAAAATACTTCAAGGTCATTTTAGTATTTTACACAAATTCCCGGAAACGTTGCATACATAAATTGAACTTCCTTTGTTTTTGTTACTTTTACCATTTTAAAGTTGGAACAGTTTTTCATTCATTTTATCATTAAATAAATATTACTTTGGTTACGGCTTTTAACCATTGAGTAATTTTAGATAAATAGTATTTATAATATGTCAGCAACTGTTTGAAAGCCAGGGAGTGTTCATTTAAAATTCAAACGATATTAGTCTTAAAATATTTTGATTACCCCCTTTTAATTCGTTATTATTTGATCTTTAAAACAAAAAGATGTTTCATTTAAATGTTCGTTTATTTTCAGTAGTTTCATTTTTCAAAACTGCGTGCTTTGAAAGCATTTTAAGTTTCATACAGTTTTTGTGTTCATCTTTATTTTTGCCATCTCCTGAAAATAAAGAAAAAACGGTTTAGTCCTGGGTTGAAGAAACCTCATAGTGTTAGAAAGTAGAGCTGCATTTTCCGTTTGCCTGTTGCCTTTTTTAGTTGGAGGCTGATCACGGGTCCACAACTTGTGATTGCAGCCTTTAAAAATTTAAAAAATATTCACGGTACGGTTGTGCCGCAAAAATGGAATACTGTATTTTAAAATACTAAAATTTTAACTTTTTTTGTATAATTAATTTTTCTATTAGGAGCCAAACCAATTTGTTTAAAGTTGCCATGATAATTTGGTAAACTTGTATTTCTTGTTGTGTTTTTTTTGTATAATCTCCTAAAGGTTTTTTGAAAAGAGAAAAGGACAAAAATTAACTGTTTTGTGTGAGAACAAAAGTTTTTTATTGGCGTTATTGAAAAAATTGCAGGTATGTTGGGTTACATTAATTCATTTCTCACATGGGTAAAATTGTGTCTTTTATAGTTTTTTTTTTGAATTTTAATTTAAAGTCATGCGTCAGTTTATATTTGGTTTTTTTTTCAAAAAAGGGTCAAATAAAAGGAACCTGAAGATAAAATGCAAAAAAAAGAAGAAAAAAAAAAAAAAAAACAACTACAAACATTAAAACAGAACGCGTATTGGCGAGCGACCATATGTGACAAAAAGAACAATACTTGTTATTAGAGTGTTGTGTAGGGACGGACGGAGTGTTTTTCGCACTCGTTGTGCGCGTCTGTGCGTTTTGCGTGCGTGTATTGTGTATGTTCATTTCTTTTTCTTTTCTGAATTTAATCAGTGATATAAAAAATGCATTTATGTTTATAAAAGTTTAATAAAAATATTTTTCATTGCTAAAAAATTAAATCAGATTTTTAACCGGTTCTATATTGTTTAGATATATTTCAGTACTTTAATTATTTTCAAAAAATTGGTTGTTTTAATTAGAAAACTTTTACCTTCAAAACGTTTCAAATAATTTTGTTGAAAGTTTCCCTGGGTTATGACAATTTCGTCACCCATCCACTGTGTTGGTCTAAATGCTTGAAACTTTGAAAAAATTTAATATGCGTTAGACCTGAACATGACTTGAAAAACTTAAACAGGTAAAAGAAGACAACAAATTAAAAATAGCCCATTGCTTGGATTTTGTGAAACATTTGCGTTGTGATTGTAATAGTTGTTTTGAAAAATTGTAATTTTTTAAGGGTATTTGTCTTAAAGGTTTTTTAAGGTATGGTCTTAAGGTATTCATTTTGAATAAAATAAAACTTGGTTGAAACATAGCACCATTTTAAAAACACAGGATGTTTTATTGTCTCATCCTTTGTTAAAATTTTGTTAAGACATTACAACAAATAGTATTTTAATCATTTGCGATAACGAGAATCATTTACAGTTGCGTCGTTTCTCCGTGAACGATTTTGAATGATCGTTTTTTAAATTTTTTAATTCTTGTTTTTTCCTACCATATCAGATTCGTTAACCATAAACGGAATTGTTCATAATATTCAAAGTTACGGCCAAAAAGACAAAAATTACATATGCTTTCATGAAACAAAATTTGTAGTATAAAATATTCCTGAAACGACATAATTGAAATAAAAAAACCGATATTGTTGTTTCTTATCTGAAACTTTTTTTTTACCACCTGCACATACTTTCAATCGTATAACTTAAACCCATTTTTAAAA